TCTGCAGAGCTTCCAAGGCATGCTTCCTTGGCTGGACACCAAGTCACATGACACTCTTTCAGTGAAAACCAGTACCCTTTAAGCCTGGGATCTGCAAAGTTATTCAGATCTGCTTTCTACAGGTTTTGAGGAATTTTCCTCTCTCAAGCAAGATAGGGCAGGAAAAGACAATGTAAGCAAACTGGGTTTGGGGCTTTGGGGTTTTGGGGGGAGAAGACCCCCTTCTCTCAAACTACAAACAGCAGGAGAGAGTAATTCGGCCTCTTCCTAACCAGTTCGCCACACAGCATAGAATGCTTTCCATCAGCTCCCATCATCAAAGCTTTCCTCCAATCAGATCATCTCCCTGCATCAAATGCAAAGCCTGTTCGCAGGTCTTAGATCTCAGTTTTTGCCGGCTACACAGCTCTAACGGCTTCTCAACTCCTTTGGTTTCTGTCTTCTGACGTCTGGGCTTCTATAAACAGCTTTTCTCATCGGTTTCTCTGTGTCTTCTCTAGCTGGCTTCTCAAATAGCTTCGGATCTAATTTTTAATGCTTCAGATCAGGATATCCTCATTGTGAAAGTGACTCATTATGTGGAAATATATGTAAGTATAAATTAAAGGCTTTCTGTCTGCATAAGCTTTACACACATATAGTTCTGCAGGTTAAACCTATTTAAAGTGAGGCCTTTTTACAAGGTTCAAGGACATAGCAACAAAGGTATATTCACAATACATTCTACTTAATAAACAAACATTTCTGTCTTGATTTGAGATCTCCTATATAGTGTATGTTTCTGACAGTTACATACGTAAGGAGGGAATTGATACAATCCCCCACATGGAAGATGTGGAATGGAAATACCTTGGTCCCTGATTTTTAGTAGACATTCTATAACTGGTTCCAATCTGCTGACCATGTGGTGAAAAGAGGTTTTTTTGATAGGTTATGGAGCCAGAAGTGAGGTGTATTCAAAAGACACTAATCAGCATGGCAACCTGGCCCTTACTTTGCTTGGTCTCTCATCTGCCTAGCAACTGTTTGGATGAGGGAAATAATGGAATAAAGGGAGAAGTCTTGGGCCATTTCCATCTGAGACCTACACGTGGTCCATGAATACACACATCTGTTCTTTGAATTTCATCTTTGCTGTGTCAGGTAAGGAGATTGGAGATGGCTATGACACTGTGAGCTTTGAAAGGTCAGAAAAGCCAGGCACCAGACACCAGAAGACGGAGACCGTGTCCAGATTTTCCAGAAGCCAGACAATGAAGAGCGAAGACCTAAACAATTTCTTGACCCAGCACGGCAGCAGCAAAGATGTAAACTCACCCAACCATTAGCCATGCTACATTTGGGAGTTAACCTGGTGGAGTAGACGCTACATAGAAACAGCATAGACTTTGAGCCCACTCTTCCCAGAGACTGAAGTGGTATGAGATAGTGTGCCCATGAATGTTAAGGGAAAATGTAACTCTTGTCATTGCTATATCATTTGCAGCAAATATCTCTCTGTAAAAGCTAATAGATGTTAATTGTTTATATGGAACTGGGGCTTTACTTACTGCTAGTTAATAGGAAGAACAAACCAGAATGGAGGCTCCAGCTGATAGCATTAGGCAAAGACACTCTCAACCCTCTGATACCTCTACAACCCTGAGGGGAAGACGTAGGTAACCTTCCTCTGGGAGAGTATAGGCCAGAGTCATCGGTGCACATAGGCACGATCAAAACTCACAAGTGACCTATGCGTTCATTTGGGCTATAACTTTGCCCTCCCCTTTCCCCCTCCCCAATACACAGGCACAAACTCCATTCCTGAGTAATGAAAGAACTGTTAGATGTGATTGCTGAGAATACTGTCCATGATTGTGTGTGTGTGTGTTTTAACACATTATTTCCCAGCTCAAAAATCTCCACCAGTCCCCTGTTGCTTCTGGGATAAAATACAAATTCCTCTTTTTGGCATTTAACTCTTCATAACCCAGTCCCAACCTAACATTTCCAGGATTTCTGCACACCCGCCTCCAAACCACACTCTGAATTGCAGCTAACCTGGCTGTCTTGCTGTTTCCTTGTCCCTCACACTCGGGATGGACTCCCTTTTCGTTTCACCTCATGGATCCCCTGGCTTCCTTCAAGGCTCAGCTCAGAGACTGCCTCCTACAGGAATCCTACTTATCCTGATTTCCCTAATGGCTAATATGCTTCCCTCCAGAAATTACTTGGAATTAACTTTGTACGTATTTTGTATTTAATGTTCTATGTCCACACTGTTTTCTCTGTAGAAGTTCATCAAGGTCAGACTTTTTTTTTGTATTCTCAGAACCCAGGACCATGGCTAGCATATAACAGCTATTTAATAAATGCTTCCTGAATGAATAACTAAACTCATTTCCTTCTTTTGGCAAAGGTACTGGATTTATAAATCAGTGAAAAAAGCATTGCATTTGGAGTCAAAGGACCCGAGTTCAAATTCTGCCAATGTCACTTACTCTCACCTATGTGACCTTGAATAAATTGAATACTCCTCAATTTTCTCACCCATATAAAATAGGGAGATTGTACTAGATGGCTTCTAAGGTCCATTCCAGTTAGGAGGCAACTGGTTGTGCAGTAGAGTGCTGGGCCTAGAGTCAGTGAGACCCAAGTTTGAATCTGACCTGACATTTATTAGCTGTTTGAGCCTGAGCAAGTCATTTAACCACTATTTACCTGAGTTTCCTCAACTACAAAACGGGGATAACAATAGCACCTAACTCCCAGGGTGGTTGTGAGGACCAAATGAGATAATATTTATAATACTGGCTTAGCAGAGTGCCTGGCATATAGTAGGTGTTATGTTAAGTGCTAGCATATCCTACATCCCACTCACAATGAGAACACACTCATCATCTTGCCGAGTTCCAGCCCCAATGTGCTCCTTCTACTCATGGGGTACAGGGGAATCCCTGAAGTCAGATACCTCAGGATCCAACTACGAGGGTGAACAGTGATGGTCACTGAAACCTTTAGTCTCTATCCTCTTGTAATCCTTAACCCAGTCTGCATGGATTGAGAGAGTATGTAGGTCCCAGCTTGTTGCTTGCAGCATCCTGCTAGAATTTTTATAGGACTAGAATTAGTTCCAATCAGTGCTGACCTCCCAGTGAGTACTGGAATAATAACAGTGAGAGAATAGTTATGAGCTAAACAAACTTCCTGATCCTCAAGGGAGGATTAGAAGGGATGGAGGGAAAGAAAGAACTACAACTAGGGAGGTGTTCTAAATTGTCTCTTATGCAACTAGAGAATGGCTGAACAAATTGAGGCATAGGAAAATTATTGCATCATAAGAAATGACAAAAGACATGACTTCAGAGAATTGGATAATAGGAACTGACTCAGAGCAAAGGGAGCAGAACTAGAAAAACAAATTCACACAAGGACAACAGCACTTTTGAAAGACAAAAACTCTAATCAAAGCAATGACCAACAATGTTTCCAGACAGAGAAGTGATGGACAGAAGGGGCAGAGACGTGTATTTTGGACACAGCCGCTGTGCTGACTCATTTTGTTTAACTATGCTCATCTGTTCCACTAGTCCAAGTGAGAAGTTATTAAGGACCTTAACTAGAGTTGGTTGTGCCCATGTGAATGCAGAGAAAGGGATATATAGGAGAGACACGTAGAGGTGGTTCTAATAACGCGTGGCAACTAATATCCACAAACACGTTCCACTGTAACATTTTACCTCTAAAGAGGCTAAGATTAGCCCTCACACTTTATCACTGAGAGTTTAGGACAACCAAAGAGCTCCAGTTGGCTAGCAATTTCGATGAATATCTGGCAATTTCTTATCAAAGCAAGTGACAGCAGACCAAAAAAAGCATGAGGCATGTTTAGTGGGAATTCTTTTTCAGGTATGGGTTGAACTAGCCATTGAGAATCATTCCAACTCTAAAATTCTATGATTGGCTAGAAGAAATTGAGGATAACTCTGAAGTTGCCTACCTGAGCATATGAAAGAAAGGGGAAGCTTTAGACTTGTCCTTCATGAAGGCAGCATTATGGATCACTTAATCTAAACTACCTTCCTGCAGATCTTCGTCAAGTAGAAACCGGAAGAAAACATCAGAGATATTGTAGAGGGAATTCTGGTTCAAGTATTGATTGAATCAGATGACCTCTTAAATCCCTTCCCACCCTGAAACTGTGAGATTCATCTACCTAGGATGACTTAAAAGAGTCTTATATAAAGGCAGGAGGAGGCACTAAATGTGCTTTTAAGAACCTCCTAAGATCAACCTCAACTGCAAAAATGACTATGAAAGGGGCAGCTAGGTGGTGCAGTGGATACAGCACCGGCCCTGAAGTCAGGAGGACCCAAGTTCAAATCCGGCCTCAGACCAAACACTTGACACTTACTAGCTGTGTGACCCTGGGCAAGTCACTTAACCCCAATTGCCTAAAAAAAAAAAACCCCCAAAAAAATGACTATGAAAGAATGGAAAGGAAAGATGAAACACCTCCTATTTCCAAGACAAGCTTGCCCAGAGAGAGCTGTAGGTCACAGAAGAGAAGCCCGGAAGGATTAAGTATGTACATAATCCCATCTCAAAAGTCCCTCCTAACCCCAAGATGTCACAGGTTTCTTCCAGTTCCATTTCTCCCCACGAGGTGTCTTGTACAAGACTTTCCCAGGAATGGAACAAGGACCCTACCGGTTATTTTTTTATATAGTGTCCGCTATAGTATGAAAAATCCCCCCACCCACACCCTCCAATAAGGGCATCTATGATGTAAGTCAGTGCTGGTGCTGACAAGACCTGAAACAGACCTCAAAGTAAAAAAAGCTGAGATTCAGGCCCAGTCATGTACTATGGGGACTGTCAGTTCTGAAGGACAGGGGAATGGATTGTGAGGTTGTTGATTGCTACCTGATCCTGTGTGCTTTTAATAAATCTCTATTTAGTCCAGGAAATCTCTTGCGTAAGTCACTTGTATCACCTGAACTGCAAACCATAAGACCAAGTACTTTCCAACTTTTCAAAAACATTTTAATAAGACAAACTAGTCATACAATGTTACAAGTAGACTAAACCTTGCAAAAATTGAGATAATGTTTTCAAATGATCAAGGGTAATAGTGTACAAATCAATCCTTCCTTAATGGAACAGTCTCCTCTTTAATGCCATCTTTAGTGACAATGCAAATCTTAAGTGAGTCTCCAGTGTACACATCTCTCTCAGCTGCAGAGATAAAGACATCCTTCACTAGCTGCATAGCCCTTTCCAAGGACAGAGGAACATGCTCCACATTCTGCATATTCTTAAAACCAACCTAATGAGGAAAAAGAAAACAACTAGGTGATTAGTGCATGTTGTAATATTAAGAAAAAAGGCTTTTAAAAATATTTTGTCTAAGACCCTAATAGTTTTAAAAGTATAATTTCTATCATATATGAAGAAAGGTGAATACATTTTCATAAACACTTTCAAACACTTCCCCCTACTGCCAAAAGAAAGTCCTTTCAAACATAGATAGCCACAGCATTTCCCAAAAATGCTATAAGATACAGTGTGTGATCAAAAAGTGCTCACTTAATAAAAAAATGAAACTTAACCAAATTCACAAAGTAGCAAGAGATTTTGATTTCTTAAGTCTTCCAAATAAACTGAGGAAATTATATTACAAACATTATAAATTATATTACAAATTACAAATTATGTTACATGAAATTAAAAGCAAAGTATTTATTTTTGGACAGGATAAAAAATTGTATACAGGTTCATTACCTGATTGTCAAGGAGAGGCTGAAGCATAGCACTTGCTGATCCTCCAGCCTTGAAGGAGTCTCTCTGGTAAGACCCTACAGGATCAAAACTGTACACAGCTCCTTTCCCTTAAAAAAAAAAAAAGAAAATTTTCACTGATTCCACACTAGAAAAGCATTAAAAACTGGAAGACAATTCACTCTTAGATTCAAATGTTGTCTATCATCTGATTCAAATACTTAGGATACCTTGTTAGTAAAGGTCACGGAATTTTAAAATTACAGTTGGAACAGCAAGAACTTTCTATAAAAATTCTAGTCTTTATTGCATAATACCATCTTTTGAGAAAATCCCAAAGGTTCTTTTTAATGGAAGTGTTAACCAGATAGACCAGAGGTTCTGGGCTATTTTCTTTAGGGAAATCCATTACTTATTCCTTCCAAGTCAAAGCCAATTTCAGTAATGAGAAAACTGGCCCACTCACTTAGATTCTGTGTTCAGGATTTCCAATTTTATTAGGCTTTTTTTTTGAGCGACTAGTTAACAACTACACACACACACACACACACACACACACACACACACACACACACACTCTCTCTCTCTCTCTCTCTCTCTCACACTCTCTCTCTCTCTCTCTCACTCTCTCCCTCTGTGCTTTTTCTCAGAAAACTGCATAGGAACCAGGAATTGAAATAAGACTTTAAATAAGTTAATAATTTTTGCATTGCAAAAACATGTCTTTCCCACATTCCAAATTCCGTCGGCTATATAAATTAGAATTCCTCATTCTTTTATTAATTCTTGAAATTGATCTGGATAGTGTTACTCAATCTACCTATCTGTCTATTCTTCTCAAACCTCAAAAAGGCTTAATTTGGTTACCAACCAGAAATTTCCTCACTTGGAAAATACAATACCTGGTTCTATCAGACTTCTACTGAGTACACTAGAGGAAATACAGCTCAACATTTTTACAGCTCAAATGTCAAATCCTTATTCCAATGTCTCTATTCCAGGCTCCACGGCACAATTATAAAGAGTGATTATAGATATTTTGGGAGCGAGAAATTATGTATTACTGAAGGCATTACTATAAAGTATTACTCAGTGGTTTTTATAAACATACCAAAATACATCTAAACAAATACTGTTTCCTTCAAATTACTTGCTTTATTCCCAACATGCTGTTACCATTGATTATAAAAGGGAGATTAAAAGGAGAGAAACAAGGGGTAAAACCAAACAATTTATGTCTGGACTGTGTAAAAAGACAAAGAGCAAAGGAGCAGGATCAGATCACCTCAATCAGAGGCTACTAGGCTAGATCCCATTGTCTTTCACCATCTTCTTTTTCTTTGTAAAAGGAGAAGGAGCCAAAGACAGGAAACATGATAATAGGGTACAGTGGAGGGGAAAACATTTAATAATCTAAACTAACAATATGAAATGGGTAAACTCACCTAAAAAACAAAGAACAATGAAATGGATTTGAAAGTAGAATCCAATAATGATACTGTGCCATTTACAAGAAGCAACTAAAACTATTCATGAAATGAAGATGAGAAGCTAGAAGAGAATCTGTTATGCTCCAAGTGAAACCAAAAATCAGGAGTCATAATCACGATTTCAGTCAAAGCAACAGTAAAAACAGACTCGGTCAAAAAATTGCCATTGCTCAAGACATTTTCTGGAATGCATCTTTTGGAAATGCCTTCATTCAGAATCTATAGTACCGCCTTCTTGAATATTCTCAATGGTGACACATCTGCATTCTTTGAGGGTAGACTTGATTATCGGCAAAAGCCAAAAGTTATAAAAATACAGAATCTGAGAAATAGAAAGGACCTTAGTAATATCTAAGTTCATTTTTAGATGAGGAATCCAAAGCCCACAGAAGTCAAGGACCTTCCACTGAGCAGCTGAGCTGAAACTAGACCACCTGGTCTGAAGCTGTATCTTCTAGCTTACACTGTGCAGAATCTGTAATACATCCCACTTTTGATATTTTTTTAAAGTATGAGAAAGTTTTAAGACTGATTTTCAAATCCAGGAAACTGGATTCAATGGAAATTTCAAATACATTAATTTAGCCATTCAAAAGTTTACAAGTCACTTTCCTCTGAATATCTTGTAAGTAGTGCAAATATTATTATGCCCATTTTACAGACGAGGAAATTAAAGTACAACCAGATGAAATGGCCTGCTCGAGACCACACACTTAGTAAAAATCCAACCTGATATTCAAAAGTCCAACTACAGAGTTGGACTCTGAGATCCCTTATAGCAACAATGACTCCTGAAAAATTCCAGAAGTGTTTTGAGGTCAATGGCCGCAATACTGGAATAGAAGAGTAGGGCTATTGGGAAAGACAACATTCAGCGAGATAGGAAAATTCTGAGATGATTACTTAAAATATTTCATTACTTTACAGTCTTACATAGAGTAGCTATTTCTACCATTCTCTTAACTATATAATTCTAGCTATCTTATTTAACTTCTCAGAACCTGTTTTCTGAAATGAGATCAAAATATTTTCTAATTTACTGTAAAATAAGAGTGAGAATAATAATACTGCTATTCATTTTTAGTAACATATAGCTGAAGAAATGAGAAACACCATTCACTCTCCCTTTTTCTCTAGAAAGAAATTCTAACCTTCTTCATCAAGTCCACCAATGATGTTATAAACATAGTAAGGAAAGAAGCGTCTTGAATAGAGGATTGTAGACAACATTGCTGCAATTGCTCCTGTAGTCATGGCCTTATTATTGGAATGCTTATACATCTGAATTTATGAAAACAGAAATAAACGTTATTACACAGGATAACTCTGACAGGCAAATACAAGGCAATTTCACCATTATTAGATAAAACAACATAATTAAGAATTATTATATGCTATAATTAAGGCTATCAGACTTCTTTTATAAAGACATTTTTAAAATGCTGAATTTCTAGTATCTTTTAGTAGAACAGTCCAATTTTGCAAGCCTATATTTTCTAAGGCAGTTATATGTATTTTTTCATGTTTTCTAGGCCACAAAGTTCCATTTTAGCACATAAGCATACAGAGAAGACCTAGAATATCACCATGGTACTCTGCATAGTAAGACCATTTCTAGCTTACAGTCACATACATCAACCATTTGAAGGAACAGGGGAAATGGAGGTTCACAAGGCATTCTTTTATTCTAGATAAATTTAGAATAGTACATGGTAGCAGCCTTGGCACTTAAGCTATCCCCTTGGAATACAGAACTACACAAAATACACTCATATTGATTCCTAGTTCTGGTTTTGTAACACCCCAGGGTTACCATTTATTGTCTGAAGGGGTACCAAAATTCTCCAGAATATTCCAAAACTAATTTTAGTTCAACTTAACCTATTTCTAAAATATGCCTAGTAGCTATTTTTAAAGAGATGTGAATTGATGCAAAATCAAACAATAATAGTGTCACAGCTACCAAAAATTTGCGAATCATTAAAATACACATATTAATCAAAATATTTTTTTAAGATATACAGGTTTTGAAATGAAAAATCCTCTTTACAACTTTTCATTTCAAAAACATGTCTTATAATTTATAAATTCAATAAGTACTCTCACAACTATGATGGACAGACTTCTGGCAACATAGATGAGTAAGAGGTAGTATCTAAACCCAAATTCCCTCCAGCATTACAAAATAGCAAAAAAAGTACCAAGATTGAGCACAAAACAACAAACAATAAAGAGGGAATAGGAAACACTGGCTCACAAGATAACCCTTACAAAAAAAAAAAAACACAAAAGACTGCTTTTTAAAAAATAAAACAACCAAAAAGAGGCTCTAAAAATGAATACAATGGAGAAAAAGAAAGCAATTAAAAAACCCCAGCTAGGAAGAAAAAATCTGCACCAATAACTATAAAAAATAAAAAAATGAAGATTTGTTAAGTGCTTTACTATGTGCAAAGCACTGTAAGCACCATGGTAAGTTTTGAGTAAGACCCTCCCCCCAAAAATGACCATGAAACAGGAGCAAAAAGCCCCACAATGTTTCAGAAGAGCAGTATATTAAAAAAAAAAGGATAGAAATGAAAATTACCAAACAAATTTAAAAAAAAAAAAACCACAAAACAGCAAATAACTTAAAACTACAGAAAATCACTTAAAAACATTAGTGTCTGAAAAAGAGAATGGCAGATCTGGACCTCAAAAATGCAGAGAGCAGCGGATAAAGCACCAGCTCTGAAGTCAGGACGACTGGAGTTCAAATCCAGCCTCAGACCAAACACTTGACACTTACTAGCTGTGTGGCCCTGGGCAAGTCACTTAACCCCATTTGCCTTTTAAAAAAAAAAAAGCAGAGAGCAAAAAAAACTAACAGCTAGGTCACTGCTAATAGTTGTGATAGCACATGTCAAGTGTCACATAAAACCACACAAAGCAAAATAAAGCTAACCTCTAATATCTCAAAGCACTTACACTAAATATATAAGTATTGCTTAGTTTTGCTGAACTGCTCTTTTTTCCTCTTTTTTATTCTTCATTTCATAACAAAGTTCAATCTCTGGGCAGGGAAGGGAATTGCTATATAACGGGAAATAAAGTAAACAAGATAGCTATAAAACTTTTTTTAAAAAAAATTGTAAAGTAACCATTCTGCCCCCACCCTCAAGCAAAACAAACAAAAGGTTTTAAATAGTAATAAGCATCTATGTTTATCAGTAGCCTTCTTTTTTAACTAAGCTATATTTGGAGCTTCTTAAAAAATAATTACCGAAAGCTGAGTCTATGTATCTATATGTTGTCTTAAGTAGTCAAAAGACGGCACTTTAATATTGTTTTGAATATTTGTATTACAAAGCAAAACACAAAATTTGGCATACAGTTTGTATAACAAATACCAAAGGGTTATATCAAATTCTTTTCTTGCAGTTGAATTGTTGCCCCAAATATTACTTGAAATAAGACTAATACACCAGCAACCTAGAGTAGTAGGAGATAATTCTGGGTAACAATGGCCACAATCAACCCTGAGCAAAACTACCAAGGTAAATTTAACCTCTTTTCTTCCTCCTCAAAATCCTGAAAACCATTCTTGTTCTTATCTGGCTTTTATCTAATTCTTGCTAATATTCTAACTTATAACTAAACTGCTAGTTGATATTAGGGTTAAGGTGTGACCCTCTTTCAGAATGGTTCCTGGTCTACTCCACTCCAAAAACTCAAGGCTTTAGTAAGCATTTTTCTCCAGGGTACCCAACTAAGCTCCTATGTTCTAGCTGCCTCACACAGCAAAAGATCTTTTGGTAGAGGGAGGCCTGTTTTCTAGACAAACTACTGATTTCTCCCTCACAAAAACGAAAAACCGGTGCCTACCCTACCCTCTGTACTCTCTGAGGATGCTACTTCTTAAAAATTACTGACCCCCCTTATTTGGTACAAAGATGTTTGCTAATAGTATTTCTTGTAACATTTGAGCTATATGGTATTGAGCAAATGGTATTGCTTTAGTGACACTGCATACAACCCATTTACCATGGCACGACATTTAGTGGGGAAAGGAATGTTAGGTTTCTATAGTTTCATTGACCTAGTGTTCAAAGAGTAACAGAGTCTGTGAAGCTGTCACGCTAACAGGGCCTGTTGAATCAGTGAGACTGTATCAAGGACATCTACCTTTAATCTTGCTTCAATAATTTTAGTAAGTGTAAGGCAGTCTCCATGAAAACCACTGCATCCAATGACTGTTTTGTCTGTTCTGTAAAACACAAATTCAAAAACAGTATTATTTGCACTGCAGGGAAGGAGGGAAGGACAGAGGGAGGAAAAGAAAGGAAAAAGAAGGGAATGAAGGGAATGAGGGAGGAAGGAAGGATTCAGAGGAGGAAGGGAAGATATGAACAACAAAAAGGGGGCAAAGAGAGGTAGCCTGAAGAGAGATGTTCTTTTTAAAATGTAAATATGTCCAGGAAGATTAGGGGCTCTCACTCATACCCTAATAACAGATTAATTGGATTATTTTCTTCATTTCCATAGGTACTTATTAAGCCAGGAATTATAGCAGACTATGGGGATACTAGAACAAAAAAAAAAAAATCCCTGCCATCAAGGAGCTCACATTCTACTAGGAGAAAAAAAATACATACGAGAATACAAAGGATATAATACAATTAAATACAAATTAATTGGGGGAAGAGGAGGGTGCCCAATGAGGGAATCAGTAACAACTTCTTCTAAGAGTTAGTATTTGAAGTAATCCTTGAAAGGCATTATGGATTCCAAAAGGCAGAGCTAAAAAAGAGAGAATATTCCAGGCATGGGGACAACTTGTGCCAAGGCAAAGAATATTATGTTTGGAGAACATCAAGTAGACCAGCTGGCCAAATCATAGAATGACTGAAGGAAGTGATACATAATTATCCTAGAAGAATGGGTTAGAACCAAACTGTGAAGTGCTTTAAATGGCAAACAGAAGAGTTGGTATCTCTCCTAGAGGCAATGGGAAGCTACTGGGTATGACATGGCTGTCAGATTTGTGCCTCCTAAGATCTACTGACAGCTAAAAAAAGTAATGGGATTTTCTCTAATTCTATGTAGAAGACAATTTTAGAACATAAGGCACTTTAGGAGAAGCATAGGTCTAAACAGAGTGCCAAACTGGGGTCCTAGGTCAACACAAGAGAACTAGATGACTCAGAATGGAAGAGAACACCAAGAGGTAACAAAGGTGTACAACGAAGATGTAGGAAAGGTGGCAAATGCCAAGGGCTATCCATAATCGCCAAGAAAGGAGGAGAAAAGTCTCTTCTTATTCTATACCTCTGTCCTCCTCCACTGAATGTTCCCTTCTTTAAGGACTAAGAATTCAAACTCATCCTATTTCAGTAACATTATGAATTAAATAGGCTTCTATGGACTAGCTTAGGAACCTATCATTTAAAATAGTTTCTACGGGAAGACAGAATGCACATACCTCACAGGTAAGTTGTTGAGAGGAAAGTATTTTTAAAACTACATAAACGTGAGTAATTATTATTAACAGACTTTTTAAAAAGATTTTTGGAACACATAAACCTGAAATTGCCTCCATTTTGCATATTATTCATTCATCTTGATGAATACATGGTGTATTTCCTCAGAAATTTACTTACAGTTTATAACATTTGGGGCTATCCCGAGTGTGAATTGAAAAACCTTCACTTAGTCGGGTATCAGAGGCAACAATGGAAAAATCTTCTCCAGCAATTGCCAAAACAGTTCTAGAAAAAAAAGAGAAGGTAAATCAATTAGGTTTCCCCAAGGCTCTGTCCTTTAGTCCCCTCTCTCTCTCTCCCTGATCGTCAATTATTAGCTCTATACAGATGATTCCCAAAACTATACTTGGGATTCCTCTAAGTCTCTGGCCCAAATTACCAACTGTCTACCAAACCCCTTTACATGGATACCATGACAGCATCTCAAGGTCAGTAAAAAAACAAAACTTACTGTAGACTCAGGAGATATATAAATCTGTCTCTCTTCCAAACTCCCCTTTTTCTCAGTCTCTACCCTGAGGCTCAAAATCTTGGAGTCATCTTTGACTGTCTCCTCTCCCTTACTTACTACTGTATGCCAGTTAGGAGATAACTGCAGTCCAGTTTAAGGGCCTATATACTAAGAGAGCGGTCAAGGGAATAGAAAGGAAGTGGGAAGACAAGAAGAATGAAGGAATGGCCAAGTAAAAAGGAAGAAAAAGGACTCCATGAGTGACTCTAGGTTGAAGAAGAATGATGAAAGCAAAACGGAGTAAGGTAGGGGAAGAGTTCTGAAGAAAAAACTAGTTTTAAGTATGTTGAATTTGTAATACTGAGGTGATAGCAAGACATCCAAGTGATGTCCAACAATCAATGGGAGATAAAAGACTTACTTTGTTCAAAAGAGAGGTCAGGGCTAAAGGTGTGGATTTGAAATTATAACAGTAAAAGACTGTGTAAAGGTTAAATGAAGCCATGAGAGATGAGCTTTAAAAGGAAAAAGATAGATAAAGCAGGAAAGATGGCAACTGAGCTGGGAGCTTTTGAGATCAAAAAAATGAATGATTTAGAAAGATTTCTGTTTGGAAGTGTGCACAGGGCTACACAGTTGAAAAGGAAAGTAATCACAATACTAGACCTAATCTGTGTGAACTGTAGATGAAAGACTGGTCAGTTTCCAAGATTCTCATGCACTAGTGCCAACAAAAGCAAACACAACATTTGAGGAGAAAATACATTGATGGAGTACTTGGAAAACCCCAATAAATACATCCCTAGAAACAAAATTATCTTTGGTGGCATTAGAAAGGTCAGGCTTGATAGCCTATAACAAAAAAGCTACCAGTTGTCTATTGTCTTATTTATAACAAAAAAGACATCTCTTAAAATGAGCCACTTCATGTATGTAAGTTTACAATATTTAAGCAGGCTTCAACAGAAGAATCTTGATCATAAATGGCCATTTAAAACTTTTGCTCAATAGTCCTAATTTATGAAATTATGTAAATGAGATAGATTTGTGTTTAAATTAATGCAACTATTTTCTGCATTTAGTCATTTCAGTTGCAACTGTCACATTTTAAAAAAAAAGATTTGGGGCAGCTAGGCAGTACAGTGCATAGAGCACCAGCCCTGGAGTCAGGAGGACCCGAGTTCAAATCCGGTCTCGGATCAGCCACTTGACACTTACTAGCTGTGTGACCCTGGGCAAGTCACTTAACCCCAACTGCCTCACCAAAAAAAAAAAAAAAAAAAGATTTATTCTAGTGTCAAATGACCGATATAATAAATAATGGGAAAAATCTATTTATTAAGTCTTCTGAGACTTGTATTGGTGGGGGGAGGGGGGGAATTGTCTCTGGTGCACAAAGTCCTATTTGTTCCTATTTGCCTATCACTACTCCAAGGCAATAGCTAAACCAAGTCTATGATTAAAAAAAAATAAATCTTATGATCTTTAATTTCCAGAAGCAGCTGGTGGAGCAATAGAGCATTGAGTCTGGAGTCAGGAAGCCTCAATCCAGTTCCAGGTACTCACTAGTTGTGTGATGTTGGGCATGTCATTTAATATCTGTTCCTCAGTTTTCTCAACTCTAAAATGGGGATAATACCTCATAGAGTTATTGTGAGGAGCAAATGCAATATTTGTAAAAGATACTTAGCACAGTGCCTGACGTAAAGTAGGAGCCAAATGCTTCTTCCTTTCCCTCTCTATGAAGGAACCTAATTATAATTCTCTTTCATAAAAGGAGTCTATTAGTGAAACGCACCAAGCACTTATTAAGGAGTTATTTGCCAAGCATTCTGCTTTGTTTTACTGTATAATAATTCTAAATAAAGTGTATCTAATCCATATCCCCTTTTACAGTGTATAAGATTTTTGAACAAATTGCCCAAGTATCAGGGAACTTAATTAAGACACAGACCTAAAGTTCAGTCACAGAGTTGGATTTTGTTTGAGCTTTTAAACATCTGAGTCATTCTAAAGTGTACCTCAGAACTGCTCACAATATAAGACTTGCAGTTACTTTGCAGAGTAAATAAACAGTAGTGTTTCAAATTTCACCTGTGACACTTATTAGTGTGACCATGGGCAAATCATTTAATCTCTCTCTGCCTCAGTTCTCTGCATTTGTAAAATGAGAGGGCTGAACTAGATGGCGTCTAACATTCCTTCTAATTCTAAATCTATAATCCTATGACCTTTTTATATCTCATTTCAAACATAAAATTATTCAGGGGAGACAATATGACCTCTAATATAATTAAGTCTATGTATTAATAAGCCTTGGTATTGGGTTCTACTGTATCATATTGCTACCAAAAAAAAAAAATCAACTGTAATTATGCAAAGGACAAAAAACAAACATAAACAAGAAAAACTTTATAGTATTTTAAAAATCATAATGACCTAACTACACTCATTTTTTCTGACTGAAAAAAATATCTACCTGATAATATCTAAAATGAGAAAAATGTACACACAAAAACTTGTTGGAATGGAAAACCTTAGCCACTACTTTGATTTATGTTTTATGTTAACTGTACAAGTCCTAAACAGAATATCCGAGTTACAGTGGCAATAGTGCTGTGCTTGAGTCAGAGAACCTTCCTTCATATTTGGGCTCCCCTTCTTATTAGATATGACCATATGACCATAGTTAGCATCTCTGCTCAGTTCCTGCATCTGAAACATGGGAATAGATTCAAGACTTCACAGAAATGGTGTGAATAAAGACTGTATCCACCTTATGTTAACCAAATGTAAGTTATAAATATATGCGTGTGTGTAGACACATAATATAACATTCACCAGAACTTGAGGATTCAAATTGGATTTACAGAGATTGTATTTAATGGCAATATAATTAGTACTATAATTAGTAGCTTTAAAAAAAAGAGGGACTTTGGACTTGTGACTTCACTGGTATAGGAAATTCTCAGATGAAGAAACTCCCTGTACCAAAGAAACTTATGGTCTTAAAAGTTCCCTAAAGCACCGGTTAAGTGACTTGCCCAGGGCCACACAACTGAGAGGTGTCAGGGGCAGGTCTTTCTGGCTTGAAGACTGGCTCCTTCCACTATACGAGGCTGCCCCTCCTTTAAAGCGATGAGCAAAACTAGTGTAAGATGCACTACAATTAAACGGTCCTTTTCAATTCTAAAATTCTATCATTCTTACAATTCTTTTAAAAGTACTGACACCAACCCTGCCAATACAATTTGACAACTTTCTTTTCCCGTTAAAATAGCACGCGCAAAAATATTTTATAAAACACGATAACTTAAGAAACCAAATTCGATCAATTATATATATTTTTGGCGAGGATCCAAGATCGCATACATGGGGGGGGAAGAGGAGGGTCCCCAGTGAGAAAACTCCCCCCAACGCACAGTTGGAGACGCTGGGGGGGGGGGGGGGGGTGGAGAAAGAATGTCAAAGCTTGAATTCAGGTCTCCCTGATTTCCAAGCAGCTTCCTGTGCACCGTGCCACACTGCCCGTCACATAATACAGCAAAGCACAGCTGGATGCTCCTTCTTTTAGAGGGGGCAGGGGCGGAAGGCGCCTCGGATTTCTGCATACGAAAAGGGGTCAGAAAATATCCAACCGAGCCCACTGCCACAAAGGGAAGTCTAAGGCTGGCCTGAAACCCCCGGGGAAGTGGGTCGGAGGCAGCAGCCTCGAGATCCGGGGGCCAGGAGCGAAACGAAAGTGGAAGCGATGCCGGGTCCCCCGCCCGGCCTCCCCGGCAGAGCGCGGCGGCGCTGCGAGGCCCAGCGAGCCCTTACCCTCCGTTGAAGGCGTAGGGCGAGAAGCGGCGCTGCACGGGGCCCGCGCTGCCATGAAGCTCTAGCTCCCGCTCCGTCCCGAGCCCCGCGAACATCGCGGCGAAGTGGGCAGCAGACAACATCGCGAGGAGCGGCGGCACGAACGCTTCTACCGGCTGCTGTCTCACGGAGAGATTGCTACCCCGCCGGAAGCCGAGTCACTTCCGGATCCCGCCCCCCGCCCAACTCTGCTTCCGGCAGAGCCGCTCTATCTGCTCTACAGTCTATCATCCGCGCCTTCGGGCACGGACACCCCCTGTGGTTGGGAGCCGCTCTGGGCCTCCTAGCTCTCAGGGGGGCGTAGCCACTGGGTGTGGGGGGTGTGAGAGGAAGGGGTGGAGGAAGGATCTTCTTCCTTCCGAGCCTTTAAAAACTTGCTGCTATTGTCCTGGGCTCAAAACAAAAACAAAAACTTGGTCCTAAGGTGTTACCAGTTCTGTGAAACTTATTTAAGAATCCTTGCTACTAAACTCAAATCATGTAATACAGAACTAACCCCAAGAGTCCTGCGATCAAGTCCTGCCCTTAACAAGTAAGAGCCCTGAGTCACAACTGAAGAACTGTCCTTGGAGAAAGGCAGCCCCGGGTTCAAGTTCCACCTCTGATGCCTACTGACTTCTCTTGACCCTGACTGGGGAAGTCCCTTGACCCCTGGATCTTTGAGCTCACTGGAAGGGACAACTCCCGGATGAGCAAGCTCACTCTCCCAGTGCAGATCGCACCTTCTCTGCAATCTCCCGTTTTGGAGAGTTACCTAGAGAATTGAGAGGTTCTCGCCTACCCCTCATTTTTTGGATAAAGATGTGAGGTTCAGAGTGGCTTGCGCAGGGTCTCGCGGGGAAGGAACAGCAGGATTCAAACCCAGGCCCTCTGACTCCAGATCCGGCTAGGAGCTCTCTGTGAAAGTACCAGCTTTCATCAGGAGCCAGCGCTGAGGACTGGCCTCTTTCATTCAACCCAGCCATGGACTGCCCTGGCAGCCAAGCCATTGTATTCTGCAAGTAAAGGGGTGGCTGTGTCGCATCCAGAATTGGGAAGGGGAAGGGGAAAATACTTAATAACTCTCGCCATGGACTGAGCTGGTGGGAGATAGTGTACTTTTGATTCTGGAGGGGTTTATGTTTTTGTTTTTCCTATATCTTCTTAATAAAAATATCCTTTTGTAAAAGCTAAAAAAAATCAAGTACTGGCTTTGCCCTTTGGTGGTTTGTTTAATTCCTCTGAAACTCAGTTTTCTTCTCTATAAAATTGGAGAGGGTGGGAAGAGATGATATTTGGGGTGCCTTCCAGTTCTAAAAAGTTCTTGAAAATGACAATATTGGTGCAAAATCATAAAGACCAAGCTTGGCTTCAAAGAGAAGATAAGACACTTCCCCACCCCCCAACCCCCTCCACCTTTGCATTAGGGGTAGTCAATTGGACCACAATCAGCTCTGCCCTGCCCTGCCCAAGCACCACTTAATGGTTATTTTTTGGGCCCTCTTGGCTCAGAGTGAAAGTAAATAATCCCAGTTTGATTTTTTTTTCTCTAATCAAGGGGCCTACTCACTGAATGGGCATTGCCTCACTCAAAGTGAGAACTTGAAAAGACCTTAGCATAAAAAGGCCAAGGTCTCCTACTGCATCCTGGGCCATCTCCAGTCATCCCGATGGACATCTGGCCACTAGACCCTGTTGGCTCTTGAGGAGAAAGTGAGGCTAGTGACTTTGCACAGCCTTCCCTCACTCAAATTCAATTGCAAGTCATGTCACCATCTCCCTGATGTCATCTTCGAGAACAAAGGACAAACCACACACACACACACACACGAGTCAATTGGTGAAGAATATTGCATAAAACGTCTGATTTTTTTTATGTCAATCTGAATGCTGAAATTTTTTTCTCTTCCTCTTTTAAAAAAATGGTTAATAAAAAAATGGTTAGGAGGCAGCTAGGTGGTGCAGTGGAGAGAGCTCTGGTCTTGGAGTCAGGAGGACCTGAGTTCAAATACATTTGACACTTGATAGCTGCATGACCCTGGGCAAGTCACTTAACCCCAATTGCCTCGCCAGAAAAATAAAAAACCACAAATAAAAAAAATTAGTTATAAGGATCAACTCTATGGGGAGGACAAGAAGCTGGGCTATGTACAGAGAGATAAGAAGCAAACAGGAGCAATGTGGCTCAGATCCCAGGAACAGAAAGGGATCTCAGTTCCAGCTTCAAGCTCATCCTGAAACCTGCAGAACAATAACCAAGGCAGGAATCCCAGAGCTGAGGCTAGCCTACAATTCTCTACCTCTGGACCAGCAGAATTTCTCAGATGGCTGATAATAGCCAAGTCCGGCAGTAGTCCACTATTACCCACACCAGGAAGTTGCAGAGGTCAGACTAAGCAGGCAGCTATCAGACTTTGCACTGGATCAGACAACTTTACGAGTATTGAAAACTAGCAGTTCCAAGCCTGAGCTGCTGCTGAGATCTTGAAGTAAAACAACATTCAATACGCCAAGAAAGCGGCCCTAGAACCAGCCCAGACGTTCCCTCCAAAAGTGTACAGATGCTGGCCCTAACATTAAGTCTGAAGTCGAAAAATAGGCTTGAAAAATGAACAAAGAATCCCATCATAAAGACCTATTATGGTGATAGGGATGCTCGAAACAAACCCAGAAAAAAAATTACTTCAAGACAATTACAAGCAGAGTTTCAAAAACCAGCTTAGGAAAAAAAAATCAACCAGAATTCCTAGAATAGATGAAGCAAGAGGGTTTCTTTTTTTGTTTTGTTTTCAGCCAGAGATGAGGTTTATTAGAACATCCGTCATACTGGGCAGACTCTTAAGGAATCTAAGCATTTGTATCACTAATACAAGGGGGCCAGATTTTAAGAATCTGAACAGACTCTTAAGGAATCTAAGCATTTGTATCACTAATACAAGGGGGCCAGATTTTAAGAATCTGAACATTTGGCTAGATTATAAGAATCTGAGCACCTTAATGGAGACAAGATGGACATTATACGCAGAAAGACTGTGAGAGGGATCTAGGAGTGGCCAAGTAGTCTTCGGGTAATAGAACAACAGAGATCTGGACCACATGGCCAAGGGAGAATGGAGCCTACCTAGGATTAAGGGTGGGAAGTGATTGGGGGGCCATAGGGAGGTTAGGTGAAGTGGGGCTAGGGTAGGTTAAGGGTAATAGAATTGGGAGATTGGGTGCAGGCTATAACAAAAAGGCCAGTTGATGGGATTATAGCCTCAGGCAAACACCAGAAATTTGGCCATGTGGGAAAGTCCAGGTTTTTCCTTTTTGGGGTTCATATCCCAAAGACATGGTCTTTTCCTTTTAGGGGTTGACATCCCATCCCTATCATTCCCCCCTCAAACAAATGGGACCCACATTCATTTGGAGTAAGGGAGGAAGGTCTTGGCTTCTGAAACTGCTTCCTGCTGGCAAGGGGCATAGAGCTGTCCCTGCCTCGAGGAAGTCCCAAAGAGGTTGACTGGAACTGAGCACAGGCTGCATCCAGGGGATAATGGGGGGATGTTGGCTGGTACCCACTGTTTGCTACCAACTGTAGGTGAATGGCCTGTAATCTGGAAGTCACAAATCTGACAGAAAAGACTGCAGGGCCCAGATATAGGGAGAAGTAAAAGTGTAAGTGCCCCATTAAGATCATTTACATTTGACCTGCTGGATTATCTGATTATTACTTGTTACTTTTTCTAAAGTTTAAGTAACACTTTTGCAGGTAGAAGTTTTCCACCCCTGAGTGCAATAGTCATACAAATGAATTTGCCAGAGTTTGACTCACTTCAGTTATCACTGAAATTTTCCTCCCCAAACTAAACTGAGGATGTTTCTGACTTAATTTCAGTTGTTTTGGGGGTATTGAATGACCACACATTCAAGTCAAAGCAGTGAGATCTCACACACTTGCATTGATCTTTTACTGACCACTTGTTCTGATTATAGAAATTTGCAATAAAAGGATAAAGTCAGTGACTAGATTTAAGGCCCAAATATGACAGGATAAAACATCCTTAGCTCTGTTTGGATTCAGATAATTCAGTTTTCCAACCATGCAGTATCAAATCCACCTGATAGCCAGATTCAGGAATAGCCAGGTGGGTAACATTCCTTTTCAAAGGAACATAATGGGAAACTGAGCCAGGAGGATCCCATCTTAGACTGAGGCTAAAATTGTCCTCTCAGCTTTTCCTGATTATTACTTCTCATCAGTATCACATTCTCTCTGAGAAGCTTGTGGCATTTCTCTCAGTTGGTAGATTATTGATTATCAATGGATTATTATGATCCATCAGACAACTCAAAATAAAATCCCATGAACCTTTACCTCAAACAGCAAGTTTCACTAATCATGGCTTAGGAAAAACTTTTCCAGGATTTACATCTCAAATTTAAATTTGTCCTGGTGTAAAAAGCCAATCGTTAGAGATTGTTTTTATATACTTGCAAATTCTCAGTAAGACAAAACCCAAACAAGCTTTTTGGCAAGTTTACACATTAAAACAATAACCAACAATAACCAAATTGTTTTAGCGGTAACCAAATTATGAAAAGTTGCTTGACATAACTGATACAAAAAGTTCACCAATTTGAAACTTGAAACAAACCCATTACCAATCAGGTGACTTCAGTTTTGTTAAATGCATTTCCAAATTACTTTACACAGAGAATCAACATCTCATCATTAACAGTTAAAACTTTAAAAGAGCGTGCTTACCCAAGTTCGGAGGCTAGCTTCTTTACCTTGAGCAGGATGTGCTGAACCTGGGTGATGCTTCCAGGCAAAGGTTGCCCCAGGGCCCAAGGCCATTGACAATGGGGCCCATGTTGTAGACAGCATATATTCAGGTGGGGGTGGGTGGGAAGGGTGAAACTCTTCTCCTATGAGAGGGATTAACAGATCTCTCTTGACTCAAGGGAAGGGAGTAGGAGAAGGAAATGTCCAGGATTGTAAGGAGGTGTTTCAAAACACCTTAATGATTCATTACAAAACTTTCAGAATCTGCTAAGATGTTTTTAGCTGTTGTAACTTTTCCCTGTAACCTCCATGAAGCAGAATTCAGGGGTGTAGAGGGAAGGGAGTAAATAAGCCTCAGGGAACCCAAAAGCAGCTAGTTTTCCCCGATTCCCTAGCACTGAGAGAATTGACAAAATTGGGTATATGCTTCCAGACAGATCATCGGTTCTTGTCCTCTTTGCTGTGGGAGGAGTACCCAGGTCCACGGCCTCAAACCAAACCAGTGGACTGACAGCCTGAGAGCGCCATGCTGAGGTGCTAGACAGCCTGTCTGCCCAAAAAGCACCTCCAAGCCTTCCTAGGTGCTTGGAGAGCAACCCCAACTGCAGGGCAAGAAAGAAGGGGATGGGGAGGCTTATATGCCTTCCACATCTTGGCTGGAGAACTTGGGATTAGGCAGTTTCCCATATGGGCCACCAAAACATTGATGTTTAGGGGTTAGTGGTGCTGGGACCCCAAAATCATGACACGCAGGACCTGCTCCAAAGAATTCAACCCAAGCCTTCCTTAACCTGAGACAAGGTTTATTAGAATATCCGTCATACTGACCAGACTCTTAAGGAATCTACGTATTTGTATCCTAATGCAAGCAGGCCAGATTTGAAGAATCTGAGCACCTTAACGGAGACAAGATGGACTTTATATATAGAAGGACTGTGGGAGGGATCTGGGAGTGGCCAAGTAGTTTGGAGTGACTGGAGGAGGGGTCTAAGGAGATCTGGATGGGAGTGGCTAGTAGAAAATGGAGTCTAGATAGGATTAAGGGTGGGAAGTGGCATGGGGCAGTTGGTAGTTAACTGAACAGAATTGGGAGATTGAGTTTAGCCACAATGAAAGGCCAGTGGATAGGATTATGGCCTCAGTAGAACTCCAGAGATTTGACCTGGTGGGAAAGTTCAGGGTTTTTCCTTTTTGGGGTCCAGATTCCACAGACATAGTCTTTTCCTTTCAGGGGTTCAAATCCCATCCCCAGAGTGGAGCAGTAATTTTTTTCTTAATTTTTTTTGTATAAAACCTGAAGGCAATTATGTGCTTAATTATTTTAGAAAAAGAAGGGGTTGAAGTAGTAATAAAAAACATTTTAGGAGGAGCGTGGCTAGCAAAAAGTTTGGAAATCCCTGTCCAGGAAAGGTATAAACTACTGCCTGCACCCAGAGTGCAAAGGGCCTAGCTCAACTGATGGGTATGGGGGCGTGAACACGTGACTCTAGAAAGAGAAAAGTGAGTCTAGTGCTTATGACACTCTTGCCCCAGAGAACTAAAAGAGAAAAACCACCAAAGGCCCAACACCAGAAGTGTGAAGCTACCCACTAGCTCCGCCCACACATGTTCTAGCACCGCCCACTCCCAGTCACGTGAGAGAATTTCCGGAAGTTATACGACTGCCCACACTGAACATGGCTATATAAGTCAATGGCTGCGGGTGAGAGTGAGGCTAAACGGAAAGGTGGCGGAAGTGGCGTCGCTCAACGCGCCTGGAGGTTAGGAAGGCCGGGTAGACTCGGGTAGCCGTGGCGGGTGCAGAAACTGCCTCCGGTTCCACCGGCAGTAGCGGTGGCTACGGTGATTCTAGGTATCATTCCTTTTGATTTCCCCCCTCGCTGGAGATTCAGGAGATGGGGAAACCGGCAGAGCGGCTTCAGTGGGGCGGCCGAAGCGCCGGCCACAGCGCCGGCCACCGTGTCGCGCGCGGGCTGCCTTTCGGGAGGGAGGGTGGGGGGGATGGGAGGAGGGTTGGCGGGCGCGCGGGAGGCGGTTGGGGGCGCGGGGCTGGGGGGCGGGGGCCGCCTCTGGAACGACCGGCGGGAGGCGCGAGGTGCTTCGCAGGGCTCGCAGCCGCAGCGCGCCGGCCCTGGATGCGGCGGCCGCTGGCCGTTTTATCCCCTCCCCGCCGGCTCTGTCTCGGTCCCCGGGCCCAGCGCATTGTTGGGGTTTGGGCCACTTCCCGGTAATTTTCTCCAAAGCCGGAGGAAAGGCTGAGGGGAGATTGCGCACGTGCAGGTGACCCGTAGAAGAGGCATCCCTGCAGCTCGCTGCAGGCTGACTTGGGCGATCCTCTTGATAGGATGCGAGGGGTAACTTGGATTCCAGGGCTGACTGTTGGCGTCTTTGTGACCCCGAACCAATCTCGGTGCCCCCGGCAGCCCTCTGACGTTGTTATCTGGAGGTGATTGTTTGAGTTGATACAGTTTTCTAAACCTTTCTCTTTGATAGTGTGTATTTCTTATACCAATGAAATCACTGGGTCGATCCACAAAGCACTTATTAAGTGACTTCCTAGTTGTTTGGAACTGTGCTAAACCTGGGGATGGGAAGGAAGATGGAAAACGGCCCCCGCCTTCAAAAATCTTAACAGTCCAACTGGGAAGACATATAGTTATGTACAAGATGCAGACCAAGTAGGTTCAAGGTAACTTAGTAGCAGCCGGGAAGACAGAGAAAGGCCTGTCGTGGAAGCTGATGCTTGAGCTGACTCTGTGTAAGCCCACGAGTCCCAGAGGAGGAGGTGAGAAGGGAGAGCATCCCAATTATGAGGGATTGCTAGTACAATTGCACAGAAAGGGAGATGGAGCATCCTGCGTGAGGAACAGCAAGGAGGCAGCTAGAGCCTATGGAAGAGCAAAGTGGGTGAGACTGGGAAGATAATTAGGAGCTAGAAGAGTTTTAAATGAAGAACAGGAGTTTATATTTGATCCTAGAGGTAATAAAGATTCAATGGAATTTATTGATTTGGGGACTGATGTGGTTGCCGGCAGCTGGGTGGCCTATTGGATATAGGACCGGGCCTGCTTTGTGACCCTGGGCAAGTCAGTTAACTTGTGGTTGCCCTAATCCACTGGAGAAGGAAGTGGCAGACCACTCCAGTATCTGTAGTACTGCTGTGCTATGGTTCATGGGGTCAGGAAGAGGAGGACATGACTGAACAACGTGGTCAAACCTATGCCTTTAGCGTGATCACTTTGGCAGTTGTACGGAGAATGGAGAGATAGCTGAGGCATTCCAATTGGAAGGCTAGTGTAATCCATCCAAGAACGTGGTGGCTGTGTTAGTGGAGAGAAGAGGACAACCTGTAGAAGAGATAACATGAAGATAAAAAGGACGAGATCTGAAAGTTAATTGGGTATGTGGGGTTGAGTGACTGAGAACCAAGTGTGGTTGGTGTGACTGGTGTCCTTCACAGTAATGGGGAAGGTTCAGAAGAGAGGTTGGTTAGGGGGGAGAGGAAAAGTTCTATTTTGGACTTTTTTGAGTTTGAGGTGCCTTCCAGTTTGAAATGTCCAGTAAGCACTTCTTTGAAGCAAGTGGCACTTAAGAGAAAGACTAGAGTTAAATATCTAGATCAGGGAGTCTTCTATAATAGAGATGATAATTGAATACAGGGGATCTGATGAGATCAGCAAGTGAAAGAATGGAGTAAATGGGATTCCTTTCCCCTTTTTTTTTTCTTCCTCTCTTTAAAAAAATTGACCTACCTCAGAGGAGCTTGGGGTTATCCTGTGTCCTATCCAATCCTTGCTGCTTTCCCAAACTAACTTTCAAACTAGAATGCTGAAATGTAGGTGATATACTGACATCCTGCTGGAGAGCTGGTAATTTCTTCAACATACTGTAAAATTTAAGAAATAAATGCCATTTCCAAAACTCCATAATATATGGGTCTTAAGTCTCTATGCCACTGTGATAGCCCAAGTTGAAACACTGCTTAAATTTCTCAGGGGTTGTTGACAGATTTGCTCGTTAGGTGCAGCATTTAGCACTTGGTAGGTACTTAATAAATGTTGATTGATAGATCTTGCTTGCTTCCTAGCAGAGTGTAAACACATACTGTTATCTACTTCTTAAATTGAGCCTTCCCCTTAAGAAATCTTTGATCACCAAGAACTGCTGATAAGTAAAATGGATTTAAAATGTTTATGTCTTGTTTTTTGTTCACATTATATTAAATATCTACTACATGAAAAATACTGTGCTAGGGATACATCAGGCAAGAGGCAGGTGACTCAGTGGATAGAATATTGGGCCTGGGTTCAGGAAGTTGTTCTTCTTGGTACTCTTCAGTCGTTCAGTCATGTCCAGCTCTTCATGACCTCATGGACCATAGCACTACAGGCCCCCCTAACCACCTCTCTCTCACACAGTCTGTCCAAGTTCATGTTAATTGTTTCCATGACACTATCCATCTCATCCCTGCTGTCCCCATTTCCTTTTACCTCCAATCTTTCCCAACATCAGGGTCTTTTTCAGTGAGTCCCATCTTCTTATTATATGACCCTTTGGTCATATAATTAAGTTTCAGCTTCAATATTTGACCTTCCAGGGACAGCTAGGTAGCACAGTGGATAGAGAGCTGGCCCTGAAGTCAGGAGGACCTGAGTTCAAAATCCGGCCTCAGACCAAACACTTGACACTTACTAGCTGTGTGACCCTGGGCGAGTCACTTAACCCCAATTGCCTTTAAAAAAAAATTTGACCTTCCAATGAATAGCCTGAATTAATTTGTTTTAAGTATTGACTGATTTGATTTCCTTGTTCAAGGGGTTCTCAAAAGTCTCCTACAGCACCACAATTCTGCAGTGCTCATCCTTCCTTATAGTCCAACTCTCATAACCATACATTGCTACTGCAAAAACCATTGCTTTGACAATATGGACCTTTGTAGGCAAGATGATGTCTCAGCTTTTTCAGTATGCTGTCTAGATTTGCCATAGCTTTCCCATCAAGGAGCAAAAGTCCTTTAATTTCATGCCTGCAGTTGCCATCTACAGTGATCTTTGAGCCCATGCATATAAAATCTGACACTGCTTCCATTTCCTCTATTTGTCAGGAAGTAATGGGACCTGTTGCCAAGATCTTAGTTGTTTTTGTTTTTGTTTTTGTTTTTTATGTTAAGCTTCAAGCCAGTTTTTATACACTCCTCTCTCACCCTCGTCAAGAAGCTTCTTAATTCCTTTTTACTCTCTGCCATCAGAGCGCTATCATCTGCATATCTGAGGTTGTTGATGTTTCTGCCAGCAACCTTAATTCCAGCTTTTGATTCCTTCAGGCATTTCACATGATGTACTCTGCATATAAGTTAAATAAGGTGACAATATACATCATACTCCTTTTCCAATCTTAAACCAATAAGAAGTTCCACGTTTGGTTCTAACCATTGCCTCTTGGCCCACATACGGGTTCCTCGGGAGACAAGTAAGATGATTTGGTACTCCCATCTTTTTGAGGACTTGCCATGTTTTGTTGTGATCCACACAGCCAAAGGCTTCTTAAGGCCCACTTGACTTCATTCTGTAGGATGTCCGACTCTTTGGTAATATTAAGATCTTTCTTGTGTAGTTCTTTTGTGTATTCTTGTCACTTCTGCCTAATCTCTTCTGCTTACCATTTTTTTCTTTTATCATGCCCATTTTTACATGAAACAGACACCAGCTTTATGACCCTAGACAAGTCATTTAACCTCTGTTTGCCTTTATCAGCTGGAGAAGGAAATGGCAAATCATTCCAATATCTTTGCCAAGAAAACCCTTGGACAATATGGCCCATGAGATCACAAAGTCAAACAGGGTTGAACCAACAACAGGGAGTACAGCCGTGGTTTCCAGAATCTTTTGAATAAGCACCGGCTTTGCCTAAATGATGGGTATCACTTAAGACTCTGTCCTGGGTCCTCTTCTCTTTTTGGCAGTACTATCCCTCTTGCTGATTTTGCTTGTTCCCAAAGGTTCCATGATCACATTTCTGCAGAGACTCTCAAGTCTGCATGTCCAACCTCAAATAGCTCTGTTGAATTTCAGTTCTGCATTGTAAAGTGACTCTTAAATATCAGACATTTTATACCTGGATGTCCTCCCAACCCTCAAGTTTGATCTGCCTGAAAACTAAAGTGATTGTGTTTTCCAGGCCTCCCAACTTTCCTATTTTGATTGGTGATACCATATTCTTTTTATCTTTTCTTTTTCTTTTTTTTTTTTTTTTTTTGGTGAGGCAGTCAGGGTTAAGTGACTTGCCCACGGTCACACGGCTAGTTAAGTGTCAAGTGTCTGAGGCCAGATTTGAACTTGGGTCCTCCTTTTTCCAAGGCTGGAGCTCTATGCACTGCACCACCTAGCTGCCCGGTGATATCATATTCTTATGCCTTAGCATGGAACCTCAGTGATCCTAACTGCTAAACCATTCCTCCACACACACACCAAGGGTGCCAAGTCCTGTCAGATTTTTACCACCTCAATATTTCTTCCCTCTTCATCACTCATACTGCCAATGTGACGAGGATTTAACTATCCAGTGAGATATATATAATAGTAGTAAATTAAGAGGTGACAGCGGCAAGGGGCATGTGCATGTGTAACATTCCTCTTGCAATATTGAGTAAGCAGAATGAGTTGAAGCAATAGTGAAAGCATTTTCTTGCACTTTTAAATTTCTCAAGAAGTATTGTGAAGAGCACAAAATAATTTTTTTTTTTATCGTGATAGAGTAACTTTTTAGAAACTTCAAATTTAGTGTGAACGTTCAACTTATAAGTTTTAGAGCTGGGAAAAAACCTGAGGGATCACCTACATTTTTCAGATAAAAACACTGATGCCCTGAAAGTGTCAGTAACTTGTCTGAGATAGGAGCAAAGCTGGGATCCAAGACCAGGCCCCACTACTCCAAATTCAAGTCATATTCCATGACACTACCAACTTGCAAATGGTTCCTGATATTCTTGCAACAAGAGTGCCTGCTTTTCATTGAAGGGATCTCCAGTTGGTCCAGGGGCTGCTCTAAAATTCAGATTATAAGGAATATTTTTAAATGTATAAATTTTAACTTGAACAAAAATGGGTGTTTCTCCCCTTTTGAAGCAGGACATAATTAAGAATTTAAAGGTTCCTTAGTAACAGATTTAGTATTTCTTTTGCCATGCTAAGGGCACAGATCAAAGAGTTCATGGGCCATTACAGAAACAAAATCTTGGCGCCCTTAGAATTTTTTCTTTCTAAACCTAGCCCCCTGTATAGGCTGGAAATGACTAGGCTGCTCCACCACAGCTTTCTCTAAGGCATCTTTTCCCATCTCCATCTCTTACAGCCGTTCCTTGGATATGCTTATATTTACGGTATTCCTCTTCACAGTGTATATACCACAATCCTAAAACAACTTGTAGCCCTTTTTTTCCTAAAAGGTTAAAAAGAAACAGCAAAATGTATAATTTTTAAGTGTGTGTGTGTGTGTGTGTGTGTGTGTGTGTGTGAGCGAGCGCACGTGCTCGAGAAACAATATGGAATATGGGTAAAGAAACAACCTTAGAAACCAGGAGAAAAGTATACACAGTAACAGCCACACTGTGCGATGACTAACCTTGAAAGACTTAACTCTTCTCAGCAATGCAAGGATCTAAGTCTACTCCAAAAGACTCATGATGGGAAAAAGCTATCCACATCTAGAGAAAGAACTATGGAATCTGAATGCAGATGGAAGCATATTATTTGCTCTCTTTTTCTTTTGTTGTTTTATTTTGATTCTTCTTTCTAGTGGTTCCTCCCATTGATTCTAATGCTTTACATCATGACTAATGTGAAAATACACCTCATATGAACGCATAAGTAGAGTCTATATCAGAATGCAAACTGTCTTGGGGAGGAGGGAGGAGAGGGAGGGAGAAAAAATTGAAATTCAAAATCTTATGGAAATGAATGTTGAAAACTAAAAATTAATAAATTGTTTAATTAAAAGAAATATGCAACATTAGAGTCATGAAGTCCTGGGTTCAAGTCTCTGCTAGATGATCGCGGCCCCGTCACTTAACTCTTCAGTATCCAAGGCACCGTGTTGCTTATCTGCTTGGTATGAAATCATAGTTTGGGACCAAAAAATGCATACATGCATGTAGGTATATATGTGTTTGTTTCATCAAAATGCATCATTCGACCCTGTCAATCAAGGATTCTCAACTTGGGTCCAAGAAACTTATTAAAAAAAATTTTTGGTAACTGTTTCAACATAATTTGTTGCCTTAAAATCCTGTGTATTTTATTTTATGCAGTGAAAAATGTCATTCTGAGAAAGGGTTCATAAACTTCACCAGACTGCCGTAGGGTCCAGAAAAGACTAGGAACCCCTTGCTGTAAATTATAAATTAACAAGTCATTGCCATGCTTTGTGTTGGTAACTCACAGAGCAACAAGTCCACAGTTAGTGTTTAGTGCTTTGGGACCGATAATACCTATTGCCTGTAATATGCTTTAGAATTCGAAAATTAATCTTTTTCTATAGTGGTCACAACCTTTATGTGGCATACTTGACCTGCCTAGGTAACAGGAATTAACTGTCACAGAGACTGAATTTGGTCCAGTGAGTGACTTTGACACCATAAACTTAAACGAGGTATTGCTTTGTAATATTAACATTTTCATAGGGGAAACTTAAAGATGTGGGAAGAATGTGGCATCTAGCAGTGTGAGGTGCAGAGGAATACTTCATTGATTGTTGGTATTTGTGAGGCCTGGCTTTAAGATGTTGTTTACTTCACATTGTTTCTCCATTTAAGCTTCAGATTTTTTTTCCCCCAAGAGACATCATATTTCCTTGAAGTGGATATAACCCAAAGAGTTTTGAAAGGAGCTAAGCCATAAATACTTGTGATGCTTTGAAGGACAAACTGAAGCAAAGGGAGCAGAACTCTTTGGTTTGTCTCAGAAGGAAGTCAACATCATGGATCAAAACAACAGCTTGCCGCCTTATGCCCAGGGCTTGGCCTCTCCTCAGGTAATACAGCTGGACCATGGGTAGAAAGCTGCATTGTAAGGGACAGGTAAGAGGGAGGGAAGGGAGGTGAATTGTTGAAATATTGGCATGGATTTGCATTTATTGTTTGAACCTTGTGTTACTGTTTGTTCAGACAACTCCACCAGGTTTTGAATAGAAATTATGAAAGCTTTTGTCATAGTCAGGATTTTATTTTAAAATAATAAAAGTATGTTTTTTTAACAAGGGGGATACCTAATTTCTGGATAAATCCTGGAGGTATACCAAATGATTATAGAGGCAGATTATTAAAAGCTTGTGATAAATATTAGTATTCTAGTTTTATCTTTAAGCCTATATGTTTAAAAATCTTAAACCACAGGCCCATTTTTTAAAAATCTAGTTGTAAAGACTACTTTGCATCAGCTCTAAATGTGTGTGAATCAGGTTGTTCTGCATGCTGTAAATGTGTTTATGAACCCTTAAATAGAAAGTTAATAAAGTAGGAAAATGCATGTATTGTTAGAGCTTTAATATGTGGCTCTTTCCCACCCCCACCCCTTTTCTAGTCCACCTTGTTTCTACCAGTATTTTGGGTGGTGGAAATTATTTAACAGAAATATTCTATTCCTATGAAATAGGAAGAGTTCATAATTTCTGCCCTGTGTTACAGGTAGGGAGGAGTTGCAAATCTTCAGTATCTGTCAGTTATTAGTACTTAGGGTCTAGTAGAGCACCGAGATAAATGGAGTCTGAACTTCCTTGCACAGCCACTAGCTAGTGCGGTAATCTTGAGAAAACTGAGACTTGTTTAACTGTAAAGTTGGGGATAATCATGCTGTTAACTAGCTGTGTCTTTGTGAGGACAAAATAATCTACGTGAGTATAATTTGAAAAGTTAGAAAGCATTTTAGAATTGCAGGATATTCAGGTAAATGATGGAAAAACTGTTGATTTGCCTTTTTTGTGAGGGTTAGAGTTCAACTCTGAGGCACTGTTGAATAGAGAATAACGATTGTGGTCATTTTTGAGAGCAGTCTCTTTTTTGTTTTCAGTATCTCAGATGTAGAAAGAACCTCAGAGCATATATTCTTTATAACTACAACTGAAAATGCTGAATACTAAAATGAGGACATTCTCTCCCCTACATCTTACTAATGCCAGTCACACCATATATACTCAGCCAAATGCCTGAATAACTTAGCTTATTCTTGTTCTCTACAGGGTGCCATGACTCCTGGAATTCCTATCTTTAGCCCAATGATGCCCTATGGTACAGGACTGACTCCCCAGCCTGTCCAAAGCACTAGCAGTCTTTCTATTCTGGAAGAGCAGCAGAGGCAGCAGCAGCAGCAGCAGCAGCAGCAGCAACAGCAGCAGCAGCAGCAGCAGCAGCAGCAAGCTGCCCAGCAGTCCACGTCTCAACAAGCAACACAGGGAACTTCTGGCCAAACCCCACAGCTCTTCCATTCACAGACTCTTACCACAGCACCTCTGCCGGGCACTACACCCTTGTATCCTTCCCCAATGACCCCTATGACCCCCATTACACCAGCCACACCTGCATCTGAAAGCTCTGGAATTGTACCACAGCTACAGTAAGTGTGTCTGTGTCTTGTGTATCTGTCTACTTCCTTCCACTGAATTAGTAGGGAAAGTATTTCTTTTGGAGGTTTATCTATTCATTTTAGAGATGTCCATAGTAATACCTTAGTTAAAACTTGGCTTATTTTTTACAGATCTCAAAGAAGCTTCTGTAAATGAGCTTTAGTAAACAGATTATTATTTTTGTATTTTAACTGCCTCTAACTCCCTTTAATTTTGTGCTGTATAGAAGGCACTAAATAATTATTTGTTAAATTAAATTGAATGCAGGAACTTGGTTATGGGAATCAAGACGGTCCTTTATTTACTCCCCTGAATAGTCAATAATTAAAATTAACCCACTGATCAGATACTGCTTTAAAAATTCTTTACCCTTCCAGTCTTCCTTTCACAGATAATTTTTTTTCTTTTTGGTCAGTGATAGCCCACTTGATCAAGGAAAGGAGTCAGTCTTTTGTCTTAAATGGAAGACAGTAACGTAGAGCCTGAATCTATCACCTTTTGCCAAGAGATCTTTGCTTTAGAAGATAGGTTTGGTCCCTCTTACTTGTATTGCTCCAGTATCTGAATAAGTAGGCTGTTTTGTTTTGTCTTCTTCATTTATACTAAACTGATTGATGATGATTTTTTTAGGCAGGCTCAGTATTTAGGCAGAGTTCAGTATTGTTATGAAACTGTTAATCCTAGTCCATTCTGTATGTTAGGACAATGATTAAATTATAGTGATTAAATAATTATGTAAATTATTCCTGTTTTCTCTTTAAATTGCTTATAGGAACATTGTATCCACAGTGAACCTTGGTTGTAAACTCGACCTAAAAACCATTGCACTTCGTGCCCGAAATGCTGAATATAATCCCAAGGTAAAAGCTGGTTTAATGTTCTCAAAATTTAAAATTATATGAGGACACATCCTGCTTAGAGGTAAAAAAATTGAAATGGCAGTACATCCAGAATTGAGGAGCTGGTATCATGTTTTCAGGTTTCTTTCAATCTCCAAACCAAGGCTATAAAGCCCAAAATACTTTTATATATAAAGTGATAGCCTCTTTAAGAGAGACATTTTTCAGTGACTAATAGAAAAAGTTGACAAGTGCTCTGAATTTTGTTTCTAGCTTAAAGTACAGGTTCCATTATAACTTTAGGGGGATTTGCCCTGTCTTTCCTTAAAATGGGTAAGAAAATTGCCACATATTTACTAGTGGATATTGTAAAATTTAACTAGCAGATAAAGCTTTTATGGAGACTGAGTAAATAATATTCTGAAAACGCAAATTATGTTCTTCCTCTTAACTCACTTGCCTATCCAAAGAAACTGTCCTAGAGGCATTTGTTAAATTTAACTTACCATTGACAAAGACTGGTACTCTTAAATCAGTGCTAAACATGGAACCTCCATTCTTTCTGTCTTGCATTGATATAATATTTTTAAGCCAAACTGTGCATGTATGGAGTACCAGTGTGTAAAGACTGCCACTCTCTCCGTATACTTGTTACGAATATCATCTTTGGGGACCTGAAAAAAATTGAGATTCTGCGAGGCATATATACTCCCAGAGGTAAAAAGAAAGGCTCTGTATATGCCAAAATATCTGTACCAGGGCTTTTTCTTATAGCAAAGATCTAGAAACAGTTCTCAGTTGGAGAATACCTAAACAAGTTGTGCCACATGAATATAATGGAATATTAAATGATGAATATGATGAACACAAATATGGAAAGACTCACATGAAATAATGCAGAGTGAAGTAAAAAGAAAACTATAACCAGTGACTACAACAGTGTAAATAGGGGGAAGTTGGTACAAAGCAATCAAAAATAAATGTTGCAAAATTGCAGAGAATAAGCTTGGTCCTGGAGGAAAGACATGAGAAGAAACCCCCCCTACTGCTTTACAGAGGTAGGGTGTTTGGTGGCAACCATGAGTATGGAACATGGTGTATACTGTCAAATTTTTTTTTTATCTAGTATATTGATCACTTGCTGAATTTTTTTTTCTCTTCCTCTTTTTTCTTTTAAATAATTTTTTGCTATAAGAGATGGATCTTTGGGAGGGGTAGGGATACAGGAAGAAATTTAGGCAATGTTAAAACAAAAAGACCTTTTTAAAAATTAAATGAAACCTAAACAAAATATACACCGGGCAAATGGGAATTTTAAAAAATTATAATATTCATAGCACCAGTATCCTCTAGCTAGTTGCTCCTTAGCTTCAGAGAGGTCTTTTAGAGTAAGACCTTCACAAAGAAGCATTGGCATTTTGGTAGAGAGCTTTGTAAGTCAAGCCCTGTATTGTTTAGTAGAATCACTGTTTGCTCAGTAATATTGCTAAGGATTTTCTGTGATAACATTTCAGCGTTTTGCTGCGGTCATAATGAGAATAAGGGAGCCAAGAACTACTGCGCTTATTTTCAGTTCTGGGAAGATGGTGTGCACAGGAGCTAAAAGGTAAGAGAGAGCATCACTTTCCTTCTGGTGAACATTCAAGGAAAAGACCATGAATCCTGGGGTTTGGGAGCTCTTAGGATAAATTAAAAGTTTGCTTTGGTGTTTTAAATACCATTCTTTTAGTAGAGTGAGCTTCCAAGCTTCTTGGGCCAGTGGTTCTCAACATTTTTGGTCTCAGGACTCCTTTATACTCTTAAAAATTGAGAACCCAAATAGTTTTTATGTGGGTTATGTCCATCAATATTTACCATATTTAAAATTAAAACTGATAAATGTTTTTAAATATTCATTTAAAAATAATAATAAAACAATTATATGTTAACAAAAATAACATTTTTATGAAAAAAAACTTTTTCAAAAAAATTTTTAATACAGAGAATGACATTACCTTAATATCTGGTTTAATAGAAGATACCTGGATTCTTCTATCTGCCATTCTGATGCTATTTTTTATTTTGGTTGAAGTGTATTAGGAGAATCTGGCCACACAAAGATATGTAGCTAGAGAAAGGAAGAATATTTTAATAGGCAAATAACCTCTTAGTTTTATTATGAGGAGTTTTGACCTCACATACCCCTCCTGAATAGGTCTTGGGGCACAGACCACACTTTCAGGACTCCTGCTCTAGTCAATAGCAACTTTTTTCTGTTTATCATCATCACACATCTGTTATCAAGAATAGATGCATGCTGTAAACAGTGCTTTTTTTTTTTTCCCATCTGTATTTGGTAATAGTCATAATGTGAATAGTTTCTAACGAAATTTTTCTAATCTGGTCATTACAAATTTTTTTCCTTAACCACAAATATGGTAGCATGTAGAAAAAAAAAACAAGGAGGAAAATATTATTGTGGGCATTTTGATTTTTGCTCTTTCAGAAAGTAGAAAAACAGAATAGTTTGGTTTTTCACTTTACCTTGGCCCTATCATGAATGATTGTCCCCTTTTAGTCTTATTTGTTTCCACAGAATAGAGCAGAGGTATGAAACTCCTACATGAGACAGATTAAAATGTAATTGAGAAGTGTTTAACAAAATAAATAAAAATATAATACAACATAGATAATGCTTATTTGTGGTTTTTCTGAGTCAATATGCTGCTCCAGGGATTGTTTCTATTTGAGTTTGACATCACTGGGCTAAAAAACAGGCAAAGTAGACTTTTTCATAGAGATAAAATATTCCTTTGCTTCATCTTTTCCTTCAAAAGTACAGTGACTTTTTTCGGAATAGGAAACTTCATAGAAATATGTACTATGACATTTATGATTTGTCTTTCAATTCCATAAATTTTTTTTTCATTACTCCATGGCCTTGTTGTTGTTGTTGTTGTTGTTTTTACAGGCAGCTAGGTGGTGTAGTAGAGAGAGTGCCAGGCCTGGAATCGGGAAGATTCATTTTCATGAGTTGAAATCTGCCCTCATACACTTACTAGCTGTGTGACTCTGGGCAAGTCACTTAACCCTGTTTGCCTCAGTTCATCATCTGTAAAATGAGGTGGAGAAAAAAATGGCAAACCATTCTAGTATCTCTGCCAAGAAAATCCCAAATGGGGTCAAAAAATCAGACATGACTAAACAACAAATATTTTTAAGCCCCTATTGTATATAGGACATGGGCAGTAGAGGAATGATACAAAATTTAGGTGAGAAACCCTTGTTACCTTAATGTGACTTACAGCTTAGTAAGGGGTAGAGGTGTAAGCTGTATGCTGAGATGCAGAAAGTGAACAGGCATCACTAACTGCAAATCAAGAAAGGAAGTCGGATTTGAGTTGGACTCTACAGAATGCATTTAGGCTTCTAAGAAAAAAGGAACCACGTGAGCAGAAGGTCTGGGGAAAGCACAGCTATGTTGGGAAGATGGTGAATGGACCTCTAGTTAGAGAGCAGTGTCAGGAGTGCAGTGGTATGAAATCAGTTCTTAAAGATGAGGCCCTTCTGTGCCAGGCTAGGAGTTTGAACTTTACTGACTAGGCAGTCGGGAATCATTGAGGTCTTTTAAGCAGAAGAGTTACATGAATTGAAATGTGAATAAAAAAGATTAACTGCACAGTAAAGGATATATTGGGGGGAGTGAAGAAAAGGGAATGTAATGAAGGCAGAATGCTCATGCTAGGATGGTGGCAACGGAACAGAGTTAGAAGCAATGGTGTGGATGGGAGAGATGCTGACAGTACGTGATACTGATTAGATATGAGACAAGAAGAGCAAACTGCCCAAGAGAACATTAAATCTGAGCTTGTGAGAATGAGTGGGCAAACAATAGTGCTGCTGAAAGAAATAATGAATCAATTGATCCAAGTAAGACATCCAAATAGAGGTGTCATATAGGAAATTAATGTAGGTCTGGAATTGAGGAGAGAGGGCAAGGTATCTGCATCGAGGGCATAGTTGAAGCCCAGGGAATAAATTAAATTGCCTTTTGAGTGAGAAGAGAGGCAGGTAAAGAAGAGAACCTTCAGGAAGATCAACTTTAAGGATATGAAGGGCTGCTTGGTATAAAGGAAAAAGCATTAGAGCTGTAGTGTGTTAGAACCAGATTTGAATCCTGTCTCTAACACTTCACTAGCTTGTATGCCATGAACAGATCATTTAACTTTTCTGTAGTGCTTTATCTGTAGAGATAACAATACCAATGGCACTTGCCTTACAAGGTTATTGAGAAGTCTAAATAAGAATGAAGTACGGAGTCAGTAAGAGTAGAATTACTTCTACCTTTTTTCTTTGGAAATTTAGGGGCAATTACCAAATAATGTCACAAAGAGCAAAACTGACCACATCTTCATACTTTTATTAAGGGACAAAGCTTAAAGCAAATGTTCTAATCTAACATTAAAGAACAGTCATAATTTGCTTTATCATAAATTTAAATAGTGTTTTTTTTCCTATTGGTTGGTTACCAGATGAGACGTTTTGTTTCTTTTATAGTACTTGTTTTGTCTGATAACATCTTTTGACTATTTGGGGCTAGAAATAATTTTGTGTTTTTTCTCCTCAGTGAAGAACAGTCCAGATTAGCAGCTAGGAAATATGCCAGAGTTGTACAGAAATTGGGCTTTCCAGCTAAGTTCTTGGATTTTAAGATTCAAAATATGGTGGGGAGCTGTGATGTGAAGTTTCCAATAAGATTAGAAGGGCTGGTACTGACACATCAACAATTTAGCAGGTAAGGAAAAATATAAGGAATTTATGTTAGAGACTATGCTTCCAAAATAAATCTAACACCTGTAATTATGTCCAAAATTTTAAGTCTCTTATTAGCTGCCTGGACTATCTATAAATCTTCTATCTTCACCAGCTAAATTTTCCATCTTTTAGTCCACTTCATCAAATCAGAATTCCCTTTCATTGGAATTAATTTGATTTCACTCCTATAGTTTTTGCCACATTATTTTTTTCTAATATGAAAAGGGATTTTGTAGAGTAGGAATGAAAAATAGCCATAAAGGGACCAGGTCTTTGCTGTTCATGTGTCTGGGTAATATGAAACATTTTTTAGGAAAGTTGTAACTGATCAAAATATCAGATAAATTGAGGATAGACAGTGAAGCAACAGCTGCACTGAAATAAGAAACCTTCCTGATTATTAAGGGCACAGTTTTTAACTTCATTAACTTTTCTATTCAAATCTCTCAGTCCGCCTTCATTCACATGTAGTTTATAATCGAAAGAGGAGGAAGCCTACTTCCGTAATCTCCCTGGCAATATGATTCACGGTAATGCTGTGCAACTAGAATTTAACTTCTTGGAAGCTGTGCCCCACAGAAATATTTATTGAAAATCCATCTTATGGAAATGATTCTAACTTTGCGACTATGTATGAGCAATGTCCAGTGCTGCAAAACATTTTTGATAAAATCTCATTAAAGTTCATTAATGGCCTATTTATTGCCAAAGGCCAACCAAGATTCACATCAACTTTAAAAGGATGTGTGTGTGTTAGTAAAGTATGATAAGTTACTGCAGGTTGAGGCCATCATTGTTTCTTCTATTTATTTAATGTTCACATGTTCTAATTTTAAATGGTTATAAAAAATTAAATCATTTTTGAAGCAAAAAATATTTTTATTAAATGAGTTATAACTGTCAAACTAGCTAGATCTCCCAATCTGTGTCTCATATTTTAAAAATGAATTAGTTAACTATTAATTAGGGAGAAACTAAAATTTGCTTGTGAAATTTAGGAAAACTTAAATAACACAATTGTTTCTCAAGAGTATTTGATAGATTTTAATTTAGAGACCACTTCATTTGTGTCTAATTGAAATCTTTAGCAGGTAATGAACATTTTTTTCATTTCCTGGGCAATAGAATAATACCTGTGCCCATTGCAAAAGTTTAAAGAAAAGAGTATTTAGTACATTGACGGCTAGAGCTTAATGAAAAACAAATATCCTTTCTGTTCATCTTTACTATCTTCTAGTATTATGGATATCCATTAAATGCAACCCCCCCAAAAAAGAAAAAAGAAAATAGATTTGTAGTTTGGAAATATTCATATTTAATATTTAAGTATCATATGTAATCGGAAAATATCGACATGTTGGTTTAATTTTGTAAGTTAAAATTATCTTTTCATTCATTTTCTTCAGTTTCTTCACCCTTCTCTTTTTTCCTTTCCTCCCTTGTAGTCTACCGTCCCTCCCCACCACTCTATTTGACCTCACAGAGATAATCAGTGATAAGCTAATTGGTTGGTTGTTGTCCTTTATTCTCGGTGACATCACTATGTTGGGGTTGGGGTCAGGGTACAGTGTGGCTGATCAGACCCGTACCAGCTTGGAATGCTGTATCACAGGTTGGGCACAAATAGTCCACACGAACATTTGGAGTAAAGATATCTCTAAATTTTGTGCATCTTGCATTTCTTTTCAGCTACTGAAATTCTGCTTTGCTTATAGAACGCAGCTCTTTCTTTGATACAGGCACATCATGCTGGGTGGCCGGGCATGTAATGGGCACATTTGTTTATTTAGTTGAAATCATTATCAAATCTGTGGCCTCATCCACTATGACCTTTGCATCATTTGACACTATTGATGACCTACCCCCTCCATTGTGATATTATTGGCTTATTTCACCTTATTTCCCATTCAGTCCTATGTTTCTGTCATCAAATCTTTATTTTCCCTAAAAGGTTCAGCTTAGCTGTCTTTTCCTCCATAAGCCTTTTCTGATCTTCATTATTAGTGTTTTTTTCTCTCAAATTGCCTTAGATTTTGTGTGTGTGTGCGTGTGTGTGTGTGTGTGTGCGTGCGCGCGCGTGCATCCATGTATCTCTCCCAATAGAATGTAAGCTTCTGGTGCATGATAAATATTTGGTGAATTGATGGAATTTACCTAAGTTGACCTCTCTAACCCCTTCTGTATCTCCTTTGCTGACTCTTCATCCTCTTCCCTACTTTTTAAAGTGGGTGTTTTAGAAAGGTGTGAGATTGGCACCCTCTTTTACACACACACACACACTTGAAAGTCTTAGCTGTCGTATCTATCCACGTGGTATCCAACAGGCTCACATCTCCATCTGCCTTCAGTATCTACTTCAATATCTGCTGAGATATTACAAACACCCTAAACCTAACCTGTCCAAAACTGAACTCGTTATCCTTTTTTCCAATGTTTTCTCTTCCTACTGACTTCACTGTTTCTGCCTATGACAGCACCATTCATCCAGTCTCCTAGGTTGAAAACCTTGGTTTTTATCTTTGATTCATCCTTCTCCCTTTCCTTTAATATCCAACTGTGACTCTTGTTCATTTCTTCTCTGTGTCATCTCTCCTTTCCTTCCTTTCTTCTCTATTTTCAAGCTGCCTCTCTAGTACAAGTCTTCCTTACTAAGAAATCTTTCCTGCATCAATCTGGTTGTTTGACTCCATTGTTCAAAAATTTTCTAGGACTCTCCTTAGCATGGTATTCAGGATCCTTCAAAATCTAGTACCATCTTGCCTACTTTTTAGCCTTCCCTTTCCTGTTACTCCTTTGTGTTCTATGCTCCACTCAAACTGAATTACCTTCTTTGCATTAAACAACATGCATCTGTGCTCACAAACTTTTAAAAATAGTAATTACATCGGTGTGGGAAAATTAGAAAGGCATTTGCCAATAAGTCAATTTCAAAAACACTCTCAAATTTTAAGTGTAATGAACCAGGCCTTCAAAATACTGGCTAAAGGGGGAACCACGTGTAGTAACTAACGTTTTTCATTTTCCTACAGTTATGAGCCAGAGTTGTTTCCTGGACTAATCTACAGAATGATCAAGCCCAGAATCGTCCTGCTTATTTTTGTTTCAGGAAAAGTTGTATTAACTGGTAAGTTGGAAGGTGGTTTTGGTGGGGGGGGGGGGGGCGCAGTTATCCCCATACTAGACTGTGTGTTCTGTGAGGGCAGGACTTCTACACTTTTATCACACCTAACATAGTTCCCTGCACACAGTCGCCACTTACTCAGTGTTTTGGTATATTTAAGTAAATTGGATGTTTACCAGGTGTGTTTAAACAACTCTTTTTTTTTCTCTATCTCAATCCTTTAGGTGCTAAGGTCAGAGCAGAGATATATGAAGCATTTGAAAACATTTATCCTATTCTAAAAGGATTCAGGAAAACAACGTAACTTCTCACATTTGTATTTTTTTTTTTTTACAAGTTGTCTTGGTACATTACATGGTGTTATTGTGTACAGCACGGAAGTGAGATGGACTTTTAGTTGCAAACTGCAACACTTAAAGATACTTTTCTAGTGCCTATTTCCTGGCACTGTTGAAGGAACATTTCTTGCAGAGAACATCTACGCGGCGTTACTGTGAGTTGCTTTTATGGGGCTGTTTTGAAGCAGCACTGTCCATTTATTTATGTTTAGATTTTAAACACTTATCCTCAATTGTAATTCACAAGTGGGCAAAAACTATGTTACTAAGTGTTAAAAAAAAACTACTTCCATTGTTGGGGGGGTTTGTTTTAAACTTTCATCTGCAAACCACAATTTTTATATTTCTACCATAAAATGAAACCTTTTTAAAAGTGTTTATTTCTGATTTATAACTTAAAAGGGTTTTGTTTCTGTTTTGTGCCACACATTCCCTTTCCAGTGTTGCAGGACAAAATAGATGTATTAATAGAAGCTTGGCTGTACATATTCTTCTGAGACCAGAACTGTCATATTTCTTCAGAGCACTCTGTACAATAAATGCTGTTTATACAAGTGTGAGAAATTGTTTTAATGTTATCTCATCAGGTGTTATCTAATAATAAGGTGTTCATATTACAAAAAGACAGTATATTAGATACAGCATCTAGTATCATCTCTTCATGTGTACTGAATCCAAGTAAAAAGGGATTCTACCTAATCCTAACTGTTCTTTTGCCACACAAATTGGTCAGCCAATTCAACAACATGACTACCCTACAAAAATAAAAAAAATATTTCTCCACAGCTCTGTTAAAACAGCCACAATAAGTACCCCCAAAAGAATAATCTGTGAACCTTTCATCTTTGAATTGGTGTGTCTGAGGTAGCAAGGGTTTTTAGAGACATTAGTCCAATCTCCACATCACAGAGGAAGAAACTGAAGCCCTGGGACAAAAAGAATTGCCCAAGGTCACAGCTACACATGTTGAAAGATGTCAAGTTGGAGCATTTACATTGTAAACACCTTCATCTGTACAGTGTAGACATAGGTGCTCAATAAATGCTTGCCGAATGAGCTAATGAAATTTCTCTACCAAAAGGATCCCTTGTTGGATGGACTTAAATTTTTGTTCAGCAGTAAAGTTTTCCCATGCAAAACAGTGTTCAAATTGGCTGGGATGTATAACCTTGTTAGGATGAAATTCAAGGTTATTAATACTTTTTATTAAATACCAAGGATTCCTTTGTGATAACAGGAAGTAAAGAATGGGAGTAATGGAGTAATGAGAAGGTAGCTTTCTGTGTTATAGCTAGGGCAAAATCACCATTAGTAAATAGTTGGGTCACACTGGATAACACTATCTCCTCAGAACAAAGAGATTTAACAAAAGGTTATGCTTTCCTTAATCTTTCTGCTGACCTCTAATCTCTGGCTGCCTTTCAGACATTTCAAACTGGATGTCCAATAGACAGACATCTTAAACTCAAAATGTGTAAAACTAAACTCATCTTTTCCCCCAAACCCTCCTACTCTTAACTTCCCTACTATTGAGGGCAACATCATCCTCCTAGTCCCCTCCCCCAAGTTCGCAACCTAGGTGTCATTCTCAACTCCCCAGTTATCTCTCACCCACAATATCCAATCTGTTGCCTGGGTCTTTTGATTTCACCTTGGCAACCTCTCTCCTATATGCTTCTCTCCTTTGATACTGCCACCACCCTGATGCAAGCCCTCACATAACCTGTGTATGTCAGAAACAGAACTTGAACCCAGGTCTTCCTGACTCCAAGGCTAGCTCTATCACCTAGAAAAAAACATTATTTTTAAGGGAAGATCAAAAGAGAATATATTACTTTATGTTTAAAATCCTTCCCCAGTGATTGAAAAACTAACTGGTAGTTCATTGGAAAAAATTAAAACCCTATCTAAAAGCCACCCCCCCAACACTGGAAAAAAAAAAAGTGCTCAAAGGATACCAAAAGAATTTCAAACTAATAACCACATGAAAGTGTGTTCCAAATCACTGAGAAATGCAAATCAAAACAACCTTAGGGTTTCACCTCATACCCAGCAAACTGGCAAAAATGGCAAAAGGAAGTCAGTGTTTGAGTTGCAAAAGCATGATAGGCACACTAATTTATTTTTGGTGAAGCTATGAATTTGGTAAGACTGTTTTGGAAAGCAACTGGCACTAAGTAAATAATGTTTGACCTTTGATCCAGAGATTCCACTGCTGGGCAAATACTTCAAGGGAGGTCACTGATAAAAAGATTAAAAAAATAAAATTTATAAGCACTTTTTCCAATATCAAAGAATTGTAAATAATGCAGAAGCCCATCAAATATATAATGCAATATTACTGTCCTCTAAGAAATGACTATGTAAAGAGACTTATTAAGGTTGAACTGTTTACATTCCTACATGGAAAGATGATATTTGTAACTCATGAGACCTTTGTCAGTATTAGGGTAGTTGGATGGAAATAATTATATGTATATATAGATAGAGGGCACAGGGTGAGTTAAAAATAAAGGGATGATATCTAGAGAATAAAATTAAGGGGTGAGAAGATTATACTGGGAGGAGAAAGGGAGAGGTAGGATGAGGTAAATTATCTCACGAAACAGATAAGAAAAGGCTTTTACAGTGGAAGGAAATGGGGGAAGGTGAGAGGGAAGGAGTGAATCTTACAGGATTTGGCTTGAATAACATACACACTCAGTAGGGTATGGAAATCTATCTTGCCCTACAGGAAAATGGGGGGGAGGGGACAAGAGCAGGGGGATGATAGAGGGGAAGGCAGATTGGGGGAGGGGGTAATCTGAGGAAGGACAGGATCAAAAGACAGAATAGAACAAATGAGGCGGTGGGATAGGATGAAGGGAAATATTCTTAGTTTTTCACAACATGACTACTATGGAAATGTTTTGTATGACCACACATGTATAACCTGTACCAAGTTGTTTGCCTTTTCAATGGGGGTAGGTGGGGAGGGAGGAAGGGAGAAAATTTGGAACCCAAAGTTTTAAAACACATGTTAAAAAAATTGTTTTCACATACAATTGGGAAATAAGAAATACAGGAAATGGGGTACAGAAATCTATTCTGCCCTACAGGAAAATAGAAGGGGAAAGGGATAAGAGAAGGGGAGGAGAGATAGAAGGGAGGGCTGATTAGAGGAAGGGGTATACAGAATGCATGCCATCTTAGGGTGGGGGGAGGGATGAGATAGGGAGAAAATTTGGAACTCAAAATCTTGTGAAGTGAATGTTGAAAACTAAAAATAAAAAGAAATGTATGATGTATATATACAGAGAAGCATGGATTTACATTTGCAAAGCAGAACTAAGAAAAAATACAAAGTAATTTTAAAAACATAAATGGAAAGAACTACAGAATAATAAATGTTGCAAAATAATAAGCTTGACTCCAAAGAAACGTGCCTCGAGTTAGCAATGGGGGAGGGTTCCATAGATTTAGAACACTGCATAATATCAGATTTCCGATATATTGGCAATGTTTTTCTCTTCCTTTTTCTTTCCAAAAATTATTTTTATATGGAATGGTTCAGAAATGGGAAAAGGAACACAGGAAAAATTTTAGCCTATATAAAAATAAAAATTTGTAAAACTACAATTTGTAATGGTCAAGCAGTCTTACAAACTATAGCTTTGAGTAGTCTAAATTAAAATTCAACTTTAGTGATTACCATGTAGCTTTCCATTATGGGGACTGTTAAACCTCTAATTATTTTAATAAAAGATACTCTCAAAGTCGAAATTTGAGTATTTTCCACAATACTCCAATTAGTCACTAAATATAACCTTGCCCAGAGTCACACAGCTAGTAAGTGTTGTGTCTGAGGCCATATCTGAACTCAGCTCTTCCTGACTCCAGGACCAGTGTTCTATCCACTGTGCCACCTAGCTGCCCCTCAAGGATAATCTTCAAATTCATACTACTCAGTTCCCTTACCCTAGTGTGTAGCTGATCCTGGGTTCCTTAAGGCTAGATCAGGTGACCTTTCCTAAAAAAATAAATGAAACATGCTTCCCTATTCTCAAGTGAAGAGGATGATGACTCAGATGTTACACACATTGTTAGACTTTGTTGCTTTTTGCTTAACTTTTTGTTACAAAGGAGGGTTCAACTGAGGGTTGGAGGGAATTGGTATTTGGTAGGCAGTTAAAAAATAAAAGCACAGGGGCAGCTAGGTGGCACAGTGGATAGAGCTCCGGGCCTCGAAGTTAGGAAGACCTGAGTTGAAATCCAGCCTCGAACATTTAACACTTACTAGCTGTGTGACCTTGGGCAAGTTACTTAACCCTGACTGCCTCACCAAAAAAAAAAATAAAAAGCATCAATAACTTGGGGGAACAGGGGAAAGGGGCTTGGAGTCTAGTTCTGGTAAAATCCCATGCCCACAATGGAACCGTTTAGAGGTTTGGCAAGGCTAACATGTCCATTATCAGACCAAACAACTTAAGTAGCGAGGGGCTCACCACCAGTTAACCAGTATTGGCTTTGGCCACAGCAAGTTATGAATATCTTTAAAAGTATGGAAACTGTATGATCTGTTATACTGGACAGTATACCCCCAATCTTTAAAATATTGAAACAACATACTCCTAACTCTCGGACAATTGAGAGCTGCAAATACAACCCAGTTTCCCCCAATAGCTGCCTCCCTTTATGCCAAGTACAAAACCTTTCAACATGTTACTCTGAGACACTGTAATCTTGTATACATACAAGATGTACTGATGAACAATGAATTGGGGGACCCAGAAGTGGAGTAGGTCAAGATGGACTGCACTTAGGAAACTCTACAGTACTTTTAAGGTTTTGAAAATCTCTGCTAGTGAAAAAATTTCTTTAAAACAACATTTTAGTGATGCTATGTTGTTATGGTTCAGTCCTGATCTACTCTTCATGGCTCCATGGACCTGGAGTGGTTTGCCATTTTCTTCTCCAGTGCTGTCTAAGGCCGGATTTGAATGCAGGTCTTCTTGACTTCAAGACCAGTGCAATCTAGCTGCTGTATGGCTTGTGAATTATGGAGCACCACAATGTTGGAAGAATTAAAATTACAAATAATCCAGAGGCCAATAGAAGCATGGCAGACAAAGTCATACAGCATGTTTACCAAAGACAATTTCTGCCCAAGTAGAGTAAGATACATCAAAATACATCATTTTATCTGTTTGATCATAAAATGAAGTAGACTCTTCCTTCACATAGTGGGATATTAATTCTGATAGTAAAAGCCTCCTTTTAGTACTCCGCATAATGCGCTTCGTTCTTTTTGCCTCCAGCAACAGTGAGTTCCTCTGGAATTATGAGAAACAAGATTAAAATCAACCAGGATAAGAAGGTATAGGGGAATGGAGAGAGTGTTTGATCCATATCAGAGGTAAAACTCAAACTGTTAAAACTGCTAATCCAAAATCACCAAAAAAAAATATTTTTGTGAACCGTGACAAAAGCAAGATATAGCTGAAACTACTGCCACTATGCAAAACGTGGGGCCATAATCTGTTTGTGAGTAATTTATTACTCAAGGGAAAAGAAATCTAGACCTA